CTGATCATGGCGCGCTTATGGGCGGGCCGGAGCCCCCGCGCGCGCCCTAGAGCGTATGCTCTGGCCGCGATGGCCCAGGCGGTGGCGACGGGGCACTTGGGGCACCCGGGTACCTGGAACAGGATGCCAAGGCCGCGTGGTCAGGGATCCAGGAGGCGCCCGCAAGCCCGAGGGCCACTCGCAGCTGTGCCCAGAGGGCGCGCTCCTGCAGCGCATCTGGTGCCATGTAGTGTGCGGGGTGGGGGGCCAGCGAGATGAGGTGGGAGTTCCACGTGGGGGCGGTGCGCGAGGGGGACGTGCCTGGAATGTGCAGGGCCCTGGCACGATCGCGTATCTTGGGAAGCGGTTTGCTCCAGGTATCAGAAACGAATGCTTCGCGCTGCCCTCGGGTGACCAGCCCCCTGGGGGGGAGCGCTGCTCCTTCGGCGGCTCTGGAGAACACGCTGGCGCCGAGGTGCGGCCACTGGGCCGCCGCTGACGAGGCACCGAAGGGGTGGAATCCCTGAGCGACCTCCACCACTCGTGGTTGCTCGCGGGCACCGGTGCGGTTTTGAAGTTGCGGGGGCAGGGGGCGTGCCAGGGGCGGCAAGCAGCCGCCGTGGCTGGGCCGGGCGAGCCGAGGATGAGGGCCTGGATGAGGGCGGGGGGCAGGCCCGTGATGCAGATCTCGTTGTCCCGCCTTTCCAGGGTGACAGGCGCTTCAGCCAGGGCGAGAGCGACGCGGCTGTCGAAGGGAATGTGGACCCCTCTGCATCTGTGGGTTTCGTCCTGGAGGCCAGCCACCTTGGCGAGCCAGGGGAGGGCAATGGTCGCGCGTGGCGCCTGGCCGGTGGATGCGCGAAGAGCCGCTAAGTCGTCGACGTATGTGGGGCTGGCGTCTCCGGTAATGTTGGCGGCGGCTTCGGTAGGTCGTAGCCCACGCGCCAGAGAAGCGGGGAGGCCGTGCCGCCCGTGACGATCGAGCGGAGCAGGCGTCTTGCTCTGCTCTTGTATTTGCCCTTGCAGGTTTGGTTGTGCCGTTCGCTCAGAAGAGCGTCCAGGGCGTGTAGGGGCCAGCGAGGGAGCTGCCACTTTTGCAGCAGGATACCAACCCACTGGAGCGATATTCTCTCGAAGGCCTTGTTCTGGTAACAAAAGAATGCGGCGGGGCTTGGGGCGGCGCCCAGGCGTGTCTCGGCGGCTAAGAGATAGCGCTGGACAACGTCATGGTGGCTTCCAGAAGTTCGCGCCAGCATCGGCCGGGGCCAGAGTCAGCGGAGGTGTCATGGCTCAGGTGCCCGGACACGACGGCGATGTTGGGGCCGCGTTGACCTCCCTTTCTGGCAGCTTGGTGTTGGCTGAGTCGCGGCTCGACTGTGGGGCCGAGGTAGTCGGCAATAGTGGCCCCGTAAAGTCTGCGCATGCAATTCGGCAGTTGCAGCGGGCGCATGTCGTTAGGCTTCTCAGCCGCAGCCTTCTTTCCAATCCATGCCATGAGATCGACGGACTTGCCAGTGACAGTGTCGATGAGGTACGGGTCGATGTCCGCGGCGTACCAGGCTTGCTCAAGGAGGCAGGCGACAAAGCGGGTGCCGGGATGGTAAGCTTCGTAAGGTTCCCCGTCCACGCCTGGCGCGCTGCCGCGAGGCTCGAGGACCAGGGAAGCGATCTTCCCCCATGGGGGCCGGGGGTGAGCGGCATGGCTCCCTAGTTCCTTTCCCTGGACGTAGCTGTGTAGGATGCGAGCCCTGGAGGGGGGCAGGGGGGGGCGGTCTGCCAGATGTGAGAGCGACTCCCCCAGAGAACGTCGTCGACACGGTCGGGCTTTTCGTGCCAGACTCGTTGCTCGTCGCGTGCGCCGAGGATGGCGTGCGTCTTGACGTATATCTCACGCCCTGTTCTGTAGTGTGCGGCCAGGGTGGGGCGGTCCGAGGAGGGGCCCCTTTGAAATGGGGTTACCCTTGAGGCCCGTTTCTGGGCCGAGTCGCTGTCCCACTTGCGTAGCCAGCCCGCGGCTTGCTGTGGTGTAAAGTCGTCACCGCTCCATCCGTACTCTGTGAGCCAGGCAGCAAGTGGGCCCACCGGTCTGGTGTTGTGTTCCGCGCGGGAGGCTGCAGCTAGAAGAGTACCTGGGGAGCGGGTGGTTTTGCTGCGTCTCCACTTCCTCCGCCAGTCCTGGATAGCTGCAGACAGCGCGTGTCGTCCCAGTATCAGTAGGGCGGGGAGGAATGGAATCGCTATGTCGTCCGTGCCGACGGCCTGGGGCTGCGGGGGCTCACGGTTGACATCAACGTCCCCGTCGTCATTGTCAAAGTGCCGGCTGGGGAAGTTACTGGGGGTCGCTGGCCTTATCCAATCGCTAGGTTGGAGCAGGCCGGTGAGGTCCGCATCTGGGATGTTCAACATACCCTCGAGGTAGGAGAACAAGTGTCTGAGTTCCGTCCTGGCTTCTGAGGGAAGCGAGCGAATGTCATGAGCCCGGATGACATTGTCACGTCTTTGTAGGCTGGCACCCTCGGGGTCAAAATAAAGGACGGCGTGGTCAGAAAACGTGGTCTTCCAAGCTTTGCGGACACTGTAGAGCCCCAACTGTCGGGTGGGGCAGGCCAAGACGTCGATCCGGGATTCGCTGTCGGCGTCAACCCTGGTCGGGCCGTCAGCGTGGGCAATGAACGAACCGGTCCTGCTGAACCGGTCGATAAGGGCCGCGATGTCCTCCGACTCTCCGTCCCTGGGATGGTCAATCTGAAGGTTGGCGTCCCCTCCCCAGTATGTTGGAGTGTCGTCCCAGGTCTCGATGGCTTGGTAGATCGCCGCGATGGTCTTTGTCTTCCTGGAAGGAGGCGTGCGGGACCAGGATGGCCACACCGCCCGCCAGGCCACCACCGGGACCGGTGTAGGCCGGGGAGGTCACCAGGGTCCTGGCAGGGAACATAGTGGCCCAGACGGCGGTTTCGTGTTCCGACCAGTGGGTCTCCTGGATAAAGCCGATTCTACCATTGCTGGTCGTCTGGGAAAGTACCGCGTGCTGAATCTGATTTTTGTGAGCAGTTGTGCTCCTAAAGTAGGGTAGGTTCCAACAAGCCACGCTGGTTGGGATACGAGAAGCGTGACGAACTTATTTGGTGTTCGGATGTTTCAGGCCATTTCTGGTATATGAGTTCTTGTTATTGATTAGACGTTGCTGTAGTGCTAGCAGTAGCGAGGTACAACTGTTGTTATTTCATGTCCTAGTATGCTAAGCTACGTGATGTCGCGATCTGTCACAGTATTGGTTGTCATGATATGGTGTGGTCTGGTATGTGCTGCAGAAATATGGTATGCTGTATTTGGAACTTCTATGTTATGTTATGCTGTTATGTGATGTTCGGTCATTCTGACATGTTATGAAATGCTATATTATGATATTCATCTTCAGATATGATATATCAATTACCATGGCATGTTGTGCGATGTTCCGTTTTGCTTTGCTCTCTGCGAAGTCCGCTATAGTATTTCATATTTAAATCTGTTATGCTATGTTATGGCATCTCATGTGTGCTTGCCGATTTAGGTATCCATTCTTAGTGTGGTTTTCATGCCGACAATTCATGCCTATTTGCTCATGCGTCGTGACGCCTGGACGGCGTGACGCCTCCCTGTCGGCGCTGTCTAATATGCCAAGGTGTCGTCATTCGTCGAGGTCGGGGGGTGGGACGCTCAGGGATTTCCGAGATCCTATGGGCTCTGGCGAGTGCGGTACGGCGTCATCAGGCCAGAATCTCCTCTGGGGGCTCTCAGCGCGGGGCTTCCAGAGCACTCCTCTGCAGCTTGGAAAGGGGCCGAAGGCGTCGGAGAACCTCGGGCCCTCGAGCCTCCTCGAACCCTTCATCCTCGAGGGGGGCGCCGCGACGAACGACAGCGAACGACGACGACGACGAACGGCGGTGGCGACGACGACGACGACGACGCCGCCGCCGCCGCCGACTTGACAACGGCGGCCCTCCCTGGCCCTTCTCGACCCTCTTGGGCCTCGCGGAAGCTCCTCGTCGCCACGGCTGGATATCCGCCTCGAAAACGAGCCAGAAAGGGCCCCGGAGGAGTCTGCGGACCGACTTTGAGCGGATTTCGGCCTGACTCGCCGGCCGCGCGCAGGGGCAAGACGAGGCACTCCTCCCTCCCTCCCTCCTTTTCGTCCCTCCTCCTCCTTCCTCCTCCTCCTGCTCCTCCCCCTCCTCCTTCTCCCTCCTCCCTCCCTCCCTCCTCCTCTCTCCTCCCTCCTCCTTCTCCTCCTCCTCCCACTGTGCTCGCCCGTGACGACAATCGGGGGAGGGCGAGCAGAACGGCAGGAGGGGAGAGTGGGCGGCGAGCAAGGGGGGAAATGAAGAGGAGAAAGGCCTTCGCAGAAGGCGGCGGGACTTCTCAGACGCCCCCTTGCCTTCCGAGAAGTTGTTGTTGTCTTCGGGGAAGGCGTAGAAAACTTCTCACAAGGCCAGGAGGCTGCCGAGCTCACTGAGGATTCCTTCTCCTTCTCACTTCCCCCCTCGCTGCCGTTGTGCAACATGGGCCCGACCACAAGAAGCCTTCCACAAGAAACCCAACCCTGACACCCCAGCATGTCCATCGATTTTTGGTGTGGGATTGTCACGCCTTCCACAGCGAAACCATCGAGACCCAAGAGACCCAGGGCACCCTAGAGGCACGCAGGGTGTTTCTTGGCATGGGTCTCTACTGTACTCGCCCTCCTCTGTTTGTCGTCACGGCTGTGCGCGGCTCAGAAAAGTGGCCAGGGTGGTGGGGCCCTCGGGAGGTCCCAGGGTCGGTTTAGAAACGGGCTTCTGGAAAAGCCTGATCGAAGACCCCAGTGAGAAAAAAGGCTTTCGAGGGACAGGAACCCTGAGACTTTTCGCCGTGTTCGGCCGCCATAAAACAGCTCAAGATGAAACATGTGTCATCCTTCTTCCAGTCGGTAACGTCAGACCAACTCAGAACTCCTCCGACGATGACAGGACATCCGCAGCATCAGAGACCCACAATTCATG